TCGAATCCTTACCGATCCTGCAGGTCCTTGTAAGGACCGGTTAGGATTCGGTCCCAAAAGACCGATTAACATCCCTAGGTGAGAGTAACTCTTCCAACAAACCTTGAACGAATTCGGTTACTATATTTTGATCTACCGCCGATTTATATTGATCGTTAACTTGGTTAACGGTTTTTATATCATGTGGTACTTTCGAATCTACAACAAAATTTGTAATACTTTTCTGAGTCTGATCTTGTGAGGTATTTGCAATGATCTCTATTTTGCGAGACGACTCTGAGGAAGTACATCTATTAATTTTATCGACGTTTTGAGTTTCCGTCTCATCCAAATTGTTAACAATGGCAACTGTGTCCGTTGTACATGTAGGGTCAGGTGCTACATCTTGGATACCCGCCTCACGCTGAATTTTTTTTCTCCTTATTGCATCGCCTAATATTATCACCAATGCTTTTCTTATGCGCCTCGTCTAAGAAATTATCCATCTCTTTCTCCTGTGGTGATTTTTCATGGTGATCTGTGCCTGAATTGAAGTTAGAAGAGTTGTTATTAGTAATATCATCTTGCGAATGCTTCTGTTCCAATTTAGGAACTCTATCAGTGATATCCATCTTATTTTTCTCTAGAACCTCAATTCTAGCGTCGCGTCTGTTATTCTCTTCCATCATCTGCTTTATAAGTTCTGCATTTCTGGCCTCAACCTCAGCAACCTTCTTTCTAAGTTCGTGAATCTCGACAACCCTGGCTTCAAATTCAGCAAGCTTCTTTCTAGTTCGGGAATCTCAGAATTCTTGGCCTCGAGTTCAGCTTTCTCAGCCTCTAGCTCAGTAATGCGTTGTCTTAATAAATCTGTTTCTGATTGCATAGTCTATATTCTATCGTTAATATTTTTATACTCTGTATGTTAGTATTCAAAATCGGAAAAATATGTTATTTCGGCTGATCGTTAACCAAGTTAACGGTTTTTGCCAAGAAAATTTTTTTATTAATATACTGTAGTAGATAAATAAATATTAATATAAAATATATCACTCAATTGTGATCTCAAGAATAGCATTAGGAAAACGGTGAACAACTAGTTGTTGCCACCAGGGTCAGTTTTATTGATGCGATAAAAAATAAAAAATCAAATCAAATTCCAGGAAAAATATACATATATTTGCTTTATTTTTATAATAAAATATAGGTGCCATATACATGTATTGAAATAGCGGAGCTAATGTCCCTGACATATACAAAAAATTATCTATTATTTATTTTTTTTCTTTTACAATGTATAGGACAACTTCTTGAGCAGACTCTTTTTCTTTTTCTGCTTTTCCGAATACCTGAAGAGGATGGTAATGGTAAAGTCTATAGATAAAGTAAAATTTATTAATATAAATATTATTGCTATTATTGTTAATACTATTTATACTTACGGATTTTTTCGATAAAGATTCTATATTATAATCAATCCTCTTTTTATTTCGAGAATTACGTTGTCGGGGTAATTTAGGTGCTTTACTTCTACCGGCGATATTATTATCATTATTATTATTATTATTATTATTAGCACTATTCTCTTCACTATTATTATAATCACCACCACTATCACCATTATCATCATTATAATTATTAATATTATCATCATCATCGTGATCACCATAATTATTATAACCATTATTGTTATTATTACTATTATCATTAACCCGTTTTCTATTCCGAAGTACCGCTCTTTTTTTTTGTCGAATAGAACCACCAACAACGACGCTAAAATTATTATCATCGTCATTATTACTGTCATCGTCGTAATCACCATTATCATTATTAACACCATTATCGTAATAATCGCCGTTGTTATCATTGCCACCATTATTAGTGTTGACTTCATTAGAACCTGTACTATTATTAGCATAATCAATTGCGGAGGATGATTGCATAGCAGTCGAATTTTCATCAATTGCAGAGAACGACTGCGCAATCAAATATTCATCTAAATTTGAACTATCTTTGAGGTGTATTTTCCGTTTATTCAAAATTCTGGTAAGCTCATCTTCTTTCATTTTTATTTCATCATTTATTTTCGAAAGATCACGAAGAATACGTTCTTTTTCTACTTTACGCTCTGAAATATCTCGTCTCTAATTCCAGAAGAATAATTAGAATAAGTTTAAAGCTGATATATAATATAAAATAAATGGTTTACTTACTATTTTACACTCATTAATTACATCGTTCCAATAATCCTCGAAATCATAACGTTTTCGATCTTCACTAACCTATTATAAGAAATACATTTATTATGTTAACAGTGTGTAATTTTTTATTTAGTGGTGAGGCATGCCAGAAATCAAATGATTTATAGTATAGAAAGAGAGAGAGCGAGAGAGCGAAAAAGCGAGAGAGCGAGAGAGAGCGAGAGAGCAAGCGAGAAAGAGAGCAAGAAAGCAAGAAAGCGAGAGAGAGCGAGAGAGAGAGAGAAAGACCAAGAAATCAGATGATAAAAGGCATGCCCAAAGGAAGACACATAGTCGATTCTTCCTCCGGAATCAGCAGACCTTTACCAATAGCAAAGTTAGGGTGCCCGAATAGAGAACTTGGGGCTGGTTACCCAAGTTGTCATACCCAGTAATTCTCCTAGGCGTCCCGAAGCACGCTAGAAGTTACCCTCCTTGCAAAATAAAAAAATACACACCATTTCTTCTAAATCTTCACCAAGTTTTCTTGTTTCTAGTAAGAAATTACTGACCCAGGTGGCTTCGAGATCCTGTCTGCGAGAAGTAGCTGAAGTGGTGGTGACGATTGTGTCTCGACAACGGTGTAGAAAGCCCCAAAAAGATTTGTCTCTGCTTCGCGTCAAATATGACGTAAGTTCTTCGTAACCGGGATATTTTTGTTCGGAAGTCATGGTATAAAAAACTTGGTAAAAATATAGCTTTGTTGAGGTGCAAGAAAAAAATACAAGAATCGTAAAAAAAACGAGATCCCTTAAACACGCGTATACTCGAGCCATGTGATATGTCGCATGACCAGATAATGCATTACAGTTAGTGATGCGAACGGCTCGGCTCGGCTCGGCTCACGGCTAACATTTACTAAGCCGAGCCGATTCTTCGGCTCTGCATCCAGAGCCGCGCCATCTATAAGCCGATCACCTCAAGCTGAGCCGGTTATAAGCCGATCACCCTCAATATGAGTCATTTATAAGCCGATCACCAAGTCAAGCTAAGCCGCTAATTTTGTTAATATATTTCACAAAAATCTTATACGTATTAGTATTTTATTTTTCTTAATACAACCGATTTTTTAGATTTAGATTGTAATACATGTAAAATTTAAATAAGTAGATTGGAATAGCATAAAATAGTTTAAGTGAGGCTTTACTAAACCTCAAGCGAAAAGGTAGTTAACTTAAACGCACACTTTTTTAATAATTCAACAATGTCTTAGTTCTTTAATACACAGGATAAGTTTTCAATTTATTGACTGTTACGTATCAGTAATGAATTTAAAGAACCTTTATTTAACAAAAAAAATCTATTTATATTTACAGCAATAAAGAATATAGCTATAATAATAAGATAAGTGAATCAAGTAATGTGTTACAAATGATTTGTAACTATTCTTTACGAAACTTAACTCCATGTTTTAACCAAGAATTAATACACATAAGAGCCTGTAGACTCTTCTCAGATAGGCGTGCACGTCTGGCTCGAACTGTATCACCTGCTTTGGAAAATACTTGTTCGGAGAGTACTGATGTAGATTGAATAGCTAAATAATCTCTGGCCATTTAGGACAAATATGGAAAACAGGAACAATTGAGCTTCCACCAGTTCAAGGGATCAACGCTCATAGGTAAAACAGCCTCACTTAAATATTGGTTAAGTTCATCTGTTTTATTGGTGGAATTGCTTGCTTTTCGTTTTTTTTGAGCAATTTGCTCTGTATATGTTAAGTTTAATGGTACTTTTAAATTTGTAGGAGAGGTAGGGGCGATAGAGGAAGTAGAGGAGGTAGAGGAGGTAAGAGAGGTAGAGGAGTTAAGGGAAATAGAAGAGGAAGTAGTGGAGTTATTTAAAACAAGTTCAGCATATTCTGTTCTAAAAATATTATTAAAAATGGTACGATTTGCTTCAGTATTCATATCAGAAGGTAGTAATTCTAGTTTAACTCGAGGGTCAAGGATAGCAGCTATAAATGCTGTTTTGTCATAAATTTCGCTAGCATATTTTTGCATTTTTTCAGACATCTGAGTCGCGGCTGTTTTTAGAAATTCTGGACTTTCTAAATTTTGAATGCATGATGAAATATTATCGACAATATCTTCGATTAGTATAATCGAAATTCCTAAGGTCGTATATGTGCTACCAGAAAGAATATTAGTGGCTTCATAAAACGGCTTAAGAAGCTGTGTTGTGGCTTGAAGATTGGTTTCTTCTTGTGAGGTGAGTTTGAATTTATTGCGTCTGATTATAGCTGAAATTGTTGTAGGCATAGTTATGTAGGTTGAAAGCATAAGATAAGTACTATTCC